TGGGTGTCATCGGTTTACCGTCCTCATCGAGACGACCTGAGCGTAGTGGTCACGGTTCCGACCGCAGTCTTGGCCTCCCTCACATGGTGGACGGATCGCACTGCGGTCTGTGCAGGAGTACCCTTTCACGCCCCACAGCCCTCCCTCCACCTAGTTACGGACGCTTCATCTCTAGGATGGGGCGCTCACCTGGGGGAGCATCATATCCAAGGCCTGTGGTCGGCGTCCCAACTAGCCCTGCACATCAACGTCCGAGAGCTGATGGCAGTGCGCCTGGCTTGCCAGGCTTTCCTCAACTTCCTACAGGGCCGTTGCGTGCTGATTCTCACCGACAACACCACGGCCATGTTTTACATCAACAAGCAAGGCGGAGCCCGCTCATCTCCCCTATGCCAAGAGGCCATTCGCCTGTGGGACTTTTGCATCGCCCACTCGATACATCTCACGGCGTCATTCCTGCCTGGAGTCCAGAATACGCTGGCAGACCGTCTCAGCAGGTCCTTCCAAACGCACGAGTGGTCGATTCGCCCGGACATCATCTATTCCGTTTTCCAGAGGTGGGGGTTTCCCCAGATCGACCTGTTCGCATCTCGGGCCAACAGGAAGTGCCAGGCATTCTGCTCCCTACACGGTCGAGCCCCGGGCTCTCGGTCGGACGCCTTCCTCATGGCATGGAAAGACCATCTGTTCTACGCCTTTCCCCCATTCCCGCTGGTCCACAGGGTGCTGCTCAAGATCCGCAGGGACCATGCACGGGTAATTCTGGTCGCTCCCGCTTGGCCGAGACAGCACTGGTACACCACACTTCTAGAGCTGTCAGTACAGAGGCCGATCACGCTCCCCTTGAGTCGGGATCTCATCTCTCAGGACCACGGCCGGCTGTGTCACCCCGACCTGCAGTCGCTCCACCTCACGGCGTGGATGCTTCATGGTTGAGTCGCTCAGAGCGGCAATGCTCGCAGGCCGTCCAACAGGTCCTGCTGGGAAGTAGAAAGCCCTCTACGCGGACCACGTATTTAGCCAAGTGGAAGAGGTTCTCCTGCTGGTGTGAGCAACGAGCTACGTCTCCCTCGCAGGCTCCTATCCCCTTGATACTGGAATACCTCCTGTCCCTCAGACAGCAAGGCTTGGCAACATCCTCAATTAGGGTTCACCTCGCCGCTATTTCCGCTTTCCACCCAGGGGAACTCACGTCCTCGGTCTTCTCGAACCCGATGGTCGTTAGATTCCTCAAGGGCTTAGACCGGCTGTACCCACAGCAGCGACAGCCGGTTCCAACGTGGGACCTCAACCTCGTCCTCTCCAGGCTCACAGGGCCTCCGTTTGAACCTTTGGCTACCTGCTCGCTCCTGTACTTATCTTGGAAGACAGCCTTCCTGGTAGCCATCACCTCAGCACGGCGCGTCTCGGAACTCAGGGCGCTGACATCCGAGCCCCCATACACGGTGTTCCATAAGGACAAGGTGCAGCTTCGCCCCCATCCTGCCTTTCTGCCAAAGGTGGTGTCACCTTTCCACGTGAACCAGGATATTTTCCTCCCGGTCTTCCATCCGAAACCTCACGCTACTCGTCAAGACCAGCGTTTACACTCTTTGGACGTACGCAGGGCCCTGGCTTTCTATATTGACCGTACAAAGCCATTTAGGAAGACGACGCAACTCTTCGTTGCGGTGGCCGACCGGATGAAAGGCTCACCGGTCTCTTCTCAGTGCCTATCCACTTGGATCACGTCCTGTATTCGTGCTTGCTACGACCTGGCCGGTGTACCGACGCCACGCCTCACCGCTCATTCCACGAGGGCCCAGGCCTCCTCGACTGCCTTCCTGGCTCAAGTACCGATCCAGGACATTTGTAGAGCTGCAGTGTGGTCATCGGTCCACACATTTGCTACTCACTATGCGCTGGTGCAACAATCCAGAGACGACGCTGCTTTCGGGTCAGCGGTTCTGCACACAGCAATGTCTCACTCCGACCCCGCCACCTAGGTGGGGCTTGGGAGTCACCTAACTGGAATGGATATGAGCAAGCACTCGAAGAAGAAAAGACGGTTACTCACCGTTGTAACTGTTGTTCTTCGAGATGTGTTGCTCATATCCATTCCAAACCCGCCCCCCTTCCCCACTGTCGGAGTAGCCGGCAAGAAGGAACTGAGGGGGCGCTGGGTCGGCTGGGGTATATATCCAGCGCCATAACGGCGCCACTCTAGGGGGCTCCACAGCCGACCCACCGGGTGTTGCTAGGGTAAAAATCTTCCGACGATCGTGCACGCGGCGCGCACACACCTAACTGGAATGGATATGAGCAACACATCTCGAAGAACAACAGTTACAACGGTGAGTAACCGTCTTTTTTTAAATGAGGTGAAACTGGGGGTACACAAGACAAATCCAACTCCTGAAAGGGGGACAGTCGTCTGGAAAGGCTGATCGCCACCTGCCTTGTGTTTGTCAGAACCACTTCCTTGTGCGCAACAAGTGGTCCGAGAGAGGGTCCCCTCTTCGATGCCCTTCTGATCAAGGCCTTTGAATAGGGTGAGACGTCAGAACCCCTCCCTTCTAGGGGTGGTTTCTCTCTTTGGGGCACTCTGTACAAGTCACCCCACTGGCTGGATTTGGTCTTGGGATTCAGAAAAGACTGAAAACCATATTAAAAGAACTAGCTTGCAGAACATATCTAGTACTTAACCCAGCTCAAGATCATCTAGATGCGGAGCCTTGGCTTAGTTACAGTCAAAATAAAAGGAAATCCTGTATGTTTCTAGGGGCCTGCCAGCCTGGCATCTGTCCCAGGAACTGCCTTTTCCACATTGCCCCCCATGTCGCAAGTCTTCTCCGATTCTGGCTGTTCACAGAGGTGGTTGGTAGATCACAAGCCCAGACTTACACACACACACACACACACACACACACACACACAGTGGCGTCCCCAGAGCCATTTAGGGTTTTAGCATTTGCTGGGTTTTGAGTGCTTACCTGTGCAACTCCAGCCGTTTCCCATTGTGGTTGTAATGGGCTGTGCGTGTATAGCATAGGGCAGCACTAAAGCTTTACAGCTTTGAGGAAGGCACAATATGAGGAAGGGATAGCTCAGTGGTTTGAGCATTGGCCTGCTAAACCCAGGGTTGGGAGTTCAATCCTTGAGGGGGCCAATTAGGGATGTGGGGCAAAAATCAGTACTTGGTCCTGCTAGTGAAGGCAGCGGGCTGGACTCAATGACCTTTCAGGGTCCCTTCCAGTTCTATGAGATAGGTCTATCTCCATATATTATGATGATGATGGTGGCTCCATTACAGATTTAATTTAGATATTAAAATCGTTTTATGTTACTAATATTCAAATTAATTATGAATGTATTTATTGAATGTTGACAACTGGATGACAGTTTTCAGTAAATATATTTTTATTAATCAATTAACATTTAATTACTATATGAATTCTAGCTAGATTTAGTCAGATAGTTACTAATTAAACGCATCTTAGCCATTGGGTGTATTCGCGTCTCCAGCGTGTTCATAGGGTTTGGCCAGATTTCACCGGAGCTCGTCAACTGCAGTGCAGGTGACTGAGCGGGCCCGGAGGGGGAGGGGGCAGTGTGGGCAGCCAGGTGGGCCTGTTTGTAACGCACAGGGCCTGCCCCAGACAGGATAGCCTGAGAGCCCCCAGAGGGTAACGCTAACTGGGAATGCCTCGGGGGAGGCAGCGGGAAGCGTGGCAGAGTTGGAGCAGTGCTGGTACAATACTGACATGGATTTGCCTTTGGGGGCTTCCAGGAGTGGGTTTTCAAGAGAGGGGGTTTGGCACGTAGTGCCCTGGGGCAAAAGGGGCTGAGGCTGCCAGATCTGGGGCAGTGCGGAGGAAGGCACAAACTCCCAGTTCTGGGTATGTGCAGTGCCTGGCACGGTGGCCTGGGTCAGGCTTCTAGGTGCTACTGACTACACGTTGTTTCCAGTAATAATGGTGAGGGTGGAAGGTGGTAAACAAAGGGAGCGCCATAGCCAACGCTCTGCAGCTTGCGTCTCCCCCACCGTGTTGTCTGCAGGACAGTGCAAAAAGCTTTGAGTTCTGCTCTTTGTGTACTGACCTGCAGCCGTGCCAGGAAGGGAGGGTGCAGACTGCCTGCGTGTTCAGCAGGAATCACTAGTGAGCTCATTGTGTGAGGCCAGACATTGGCTAAGCCAGACACAGACAAAAATCCCAGAGTTCTGAGCAGGCAGGGCCTGGGAGTGTGGCTGCCAGGAGACCCCCTTTGTTTAGGTAGGGCACTTCCTGAAATCAGCCAGGGTTCTGGGGGAGCTGGCTAGTCCATGATTTCCCACCCCATGGTAGGGTGGGTAGGTTGAAGGGCGTCCTGTTCTGGGTCCCAGATTCCTGTCGGGGAGGAGGGAGAAGGACCCTGATGAGAGGGAGATGTTCGTCAGCCCAGTAGGAGTCAGGGGTGGGGTGGAGTCGGGGGTGGGGGCAACTATTTCTTCTGGGAGAGTTTGGGTGGCCCAGGTGGGGAGATGAGAGATTTCTCCTTTTGGGGACAGTCATGGGAACCAGGCAGAGGTGGCTGCAACATGGGAGCTTGGAGACCTTTTCTCACTCATATTTCAGTCCTATATTGTTTAGTCTGTAAACACTTGAAGGGCAATCGAAATCTTCAGACGCTAAGGGAATGAGGGAACTGGTGACATCAGCATGGGGGGCTCCAAATGCTGCAGCCTGAAGTGGAAGTTTTCATAGGCTGGCTCCAGGGGCCACAGCTGCTGCTGGGTTTTGCGCAGTTCAGGAGGCGTGACCGGGCTCTGTTTCCGAAGGGGTGATGTGCCAAAAGGCTGGCCATGGGGAGGGGCTGCCACCTCTGCCCCGCTGCTGGCCAGAATGTAGGGCTGGGAGCATGTTCAGTGCTTCATCCTTGGGCTGTGACTGGGACAGCGTACGTTGAGCCTGCTGCTGCTGTTTGTCTGGGCAGCCGGGCAGCCAGTGCCTGCTGTTAACCCCCGTGATGTTGTGTTTTAGGTTAGCAGTGCTCCGGGATCCCGTCCTTGTGAAAGGCTCCCCTCATCTTCCCGAACCAACGAGCTCCTGAAAACAGAGGTAAAGGCCCCTGGAGACGAACCATGTCGAGAGAGGCCAGCCTGAGCGGCACTCTCCGATCAGAGACCAGCCTTGTTTAGCAATAAGCCCCAGTCTCCAGGGCTGGATCTCAGACTCGCAGCACAGGGAGCCCAGGCAGGCTGCCCGTCACTTGGCTTGGTGTAGTTAGTTTTACAGAGCTGCACCAAGGTATGGAGCTGATTGAGCTGCTAGGCACGTCTTTGTAGTGCACCTGCACCGAGGGCTCAGGGTTCAGGGCAGCAACTGGAGCCCATCTGGTGCTGCGCCCCTTCCAGACACAAGCAGGCCTTTGCAGCACAGACATACAGCTTCCTTAACAGTGCCGTTGGTTACAGCTCTGTGAGCCGAGGCTGACTCCTGACGTCTGGGGGAGAGAATCTGATTCCTGTCGCAGACGCAGGCCTGCCTCTTTCCACGTTCCCCTTCCACCACTGCTCTTTGGGCTCTTTGTCCCCCACTGTTCTCTGTTTGGGTTCAGCCATGTGGAGCTCTGGGCCGTACAGGGTTGTGGGGGACCCAGGGAGGTGCTGTGGGCTCTGCAGGGGAGCTCTGGGCTATACAGGGCAGTGGGGACCTGGGAAGTGGCTGTGGGTCCAAGGGGGCAGCTCTGGGCTGTACAGCATGGTGCGGGACCCGGAGAGTGCTCTGGACAAGAATCAAGTGTGCAGGGACGTGGGCATTTCAGCGCTCGTGGAATTGTCCGGGCCTTTGTTCTTCACTGGCTCTAGGAAGAGATTTCTGTGGTTGAGCGTAAGTGCATCATGCCTGGGGCCCTCTCTGTGTGGGAAGCCTTTGAGTGGGCGAGCTTCGTGAGGCTGAAGCTTCCTGTATCCTTCCCTGCTGGAGACAGGAGAGTGGGAGAAGTTGTGGCAGGAGGAGCTCCGCATGGCTAATTTCCAGTGGGAGGATGCTGCAGCCACGTCCTTTCCAAACCCCATGTCTCTCCTCTCAAGTGGCCTGGTGCTTGGGAAGCTGTTACTGTATTTAGTTAATGTGCATTATTTGTTTAGCCTTACTAGATCATGGAGGATAATCCATTTTCTCCTAAAACAAGCACTCCTCTGGGCCAGCCCAGGCCCCAATAAATGAGGTGTGTTGATATCACCTGTGGAAAGGGACAAGGAACAAAAGTGGTTCCAACCCCAGCTGTCATGTCAGGATATCGCCATGCTACTGACCAATCACTGCAGAGGATTTCCCAATGCTGAGTTTAAAAAACCTCTCAGGATCTGTGGCCAGCAAAATCTGTTGCTTCCCAGTCGCTGTCTGCTCTGCCAGCAACAGAAGTCACGCCTGGCCATTGCAGAGAGGAAGCAGTTACTGCCACCTCTTCCACCTTGCCTGTCCAGAGAGAGTCCCCAGCAGCTGAGACGCCGGTCAGTGATGGGGCCTGCACACAGTGAGCTTTGGGGATCAGTGCTTTAGTCCTGTCATGATCATTGCTCACTGGTTGGCATTCATGATTCTTCCTTTCTCCCTTTCCATGTAAACGTTTTCCAGCTGGAATGCCGAGATGCAAAAATCCAGACTCTTCAAAGCCAGCTCCTGCTCATGCAGGACAAAAGGGATGTGCTGGCCACCGAGGTACCAAGGCCCTCCTTTCTCTTTTCTCTGTACAGACAATGCCAGAGGAGAGTACCCAAGCGCTCCGTCGCACAGGGCAGAGCCGCCTGGAGCTGCAACACGTAGCCAGCGCTGGCAGCTATTTGTTTGTTTGTTTGTTTATTTAAATAACGTTGTGTTCGCGCCATTGCCTTCTATTTCTGTCCCTCGTCCAGGCTCCGTAGAGCTTCCCCCGGAGACGGGGTGAGGGCAAATGTCCCTCAGCGGAGTGACTGCAGCTCCCTGACTCCCCTGACTTGGACATGTCAGTACTGCGGCTGGTGTGCTAGCAAATCGCACCTACCATATTGGCTTCCTGTCCCCAGAACATCAAGTTCTTGCAGCTAGTGGGGGGGTGTTTCTCCTCCCCTCAGTCCCCACCCCCAGTAGCATCAGGCCTGTGCTGTTCAGGGTTTTGTTAAGCCGTTTAGTATTAATTGATTTTTTTTTCCATTTTTTCTTTCTTTCCCTGGGCGGGTCAATAGCTGGATGCTCAAGAGCAGAGGATCTATCAACTGCAGACCAAGCAGACGGAGAGGCAGGCAGAACTGGAGCAGAAATGCAGCCGGATCCAGCAGCTCGAGCAAGACCTGGAGGCCAGCGGCAGGCTACAGGAGGAATCCCAGAGGCAGGTAAGAAAGACTCCACTCCAGCTCCAGCTCTATAGGCCTGGCTAGTAACTTTATTTAATGCACTAGCAACCTAAACCAGCAGCAGTGACATGCTTCTATTCTCATGCAAATGATGCAGTATGAGAAAGGGCTAAAGACCTGAAAATGGAGGCTCCCAGTGAGGAAGGGAGAGCATGGGAAACCAAGGAGAGAAACCGCTGCATTGCTAGCTGCAGAGATGCACTCTGCCCAAACCCTGACTCCAGGGGTAGCGGCTGCAATTGAGCAGATGTCCTAGGCATTGATCCCTGCATCCTGCTGTCAAATCCTCTCGGAGTGAGGAATCGGGTGGCCCTGTGGAGGACAGGAGAGGGACTGCACCCCTGGGAAGGAGCTGTCCTACTGGGTGGTAACAGCAGTAAACGGTGAGTCAGGATGAGGCTTGTTCAGATGTATTGGTCTTGGCTCCCTGGGATAGAAATCTTGAATTTGCTTCAGAAGATACACACCCTTATAATGAAACTGTCCCAATGCTTCTGCAGACCCTGGCAACAGCCTCTCTGCTGGGCAGTATTTGTGCCTAGCTCCTTTGTAGCCCCAAGGTCCCCTTTTAGCATTTTCTCCTCCCCTTCCTGTATCCATTGGGTTTCCTGCCCTTACAGATCTCTATTAGCGGGCTCTGTGCTTCAGAGTCTGCCAGGAGTTAACCCCTTTGCTTAGACAATTTATTCCTGCTGTGTGTGACTCCAGCTGGGGAGGGCGTGCTGCCTCCACAGGCACCTCAGCCGTGGAGTTCCACGCTTGCTGGCTTGTCGGGTGCCCGTAGCTGTGAAGGGTATTGACCACAGCTGTCATTTGGATCAGTATGGCAAGTGGACTCTTGTGTGTGATGGTAGCCAGTGTGGAAAGTCCGCAGCTGGTCCCACTGTGCACTGCAGGACTACTTGCTGAACCTGACGATGTGACCCATTGGACCATTGCAGCTCTCTTTCAGCATCCCATAAGCCTGTCTGCCTGTGTAACAAACTGATAAGGAAATCGCTCCGAATACTGGAAGATTAAACCCCAGAGGATCAGGTCCCTGCTTGCTGGACAGGAGTGAGCTAATCACGGCAGGGCTTGTCCAGAACATAGCAGCATTTCAGAGTTTTTAGCAGAAAATGGAATTTGTTTTGTTTCAAGTAGCTTGGTGGTGCTGCGATGCTGCTCTGGCCCTGGGCGGGAGTGTAACGGGATATTGCTCCTCCTGCTGTCAAGTTGTGCATGGGGGGGCGTATACAGAAACGTGGGTGGAGAGCAGCCCTGCTCTCCGGTTGTCAGTAGCTCTGGGGCATGTACTGTGTAAAGATGTGTGAATTTGTCTGTTTGCATGTGTGTGAGTCTGTGAGTGTATCCGTGTGTGCACCTTTCTCTATTTGTGCATCTGTCTGTAAGTGTGAGTCTGTGTCGGTGTATGCGGGGGTGGAGGGGGGAAATCAGGCTGGATGTTGATGCTCTGTCTCGTTCCCTGCTCCCTCTGCCCTTCATGGCTCACACATGCTGGCTCCTTTGTGTGGTGTGATAGGGGAAGGGGAAGGGGACCATTCCAGCTCACAGTCAGGGTGCCAAGAGCCTTATGCTGTGAAACTCCCAACCAAGTGCTGCTGCTTGTGTCATTGGCCACAAACATGGAGGGTTTGCCTGGAGTTCAAGCATTCAGAATCAGTAAGGTGATCTCTGCATTCCAGCTCCACCAGTGATCCCATCAGACTGTCCCAGCCCCAGGCCGGGGGCTCCCTGCCCTCCTAGGCGTGCGGGGCCAGGCCCCAGGCCGGGGGCTCCCTGCCATCCCGGGCCCCAGGCTGGGGGCTCCCCATTGTCTTGGGCGCATGGGGCTCATCATATTCCAGCTCCATGTTTAATTGAACTGGCCATTCATCTAAAGCTGCCAGCACTGGTCCCCCTTTCCAGGGCTGCCTGTGGGGCTGGAGTGATCACACCTTCCAGCCCCTCTCTGGCAGTTCTGGCAAGTCTGAGTAGCACTGGAATGCCACCTGAGCTAGGAAAGGTGTCACTCAGCCTGTCTTCTACCCTCGCTTTGCACTTTATGCTCTGCTCTCTCCTGGCTCTCTGATGCTTATTGTTTTCTTCCCTCCCATGTGTGTCTCTGTGCTTGTTTTCACAGCGCCCTCTATGCCTGGAGCACTTCCTTCTCTCTCTGCGTGAACCATCCTCCTCTGCTCCTGCAGAGCCCTCCACAAATTGTTCTTCTCTCAGCTCCACTCAGTGCTTCCTAGCCCTGCCCGTGTGCTCGCCATCAAATACAAAGCAAACACAGAACAAGGATAAAGCCACTGATCATGTGGCATTGATGGGACACAGGAGAGCTTGTGGGAGTGAAGAGGACAGCACTGTGTTGGCTCTAATCATTCCTATTGGACAGAGTTTGCCATGTTTGGGCCTGTGCCTCCTCATCCCTCCAGAGCACCACATGGCTCAGTCTTGTCTCCCCTTCTCTTTAACCTCCACGAAACCAGATCACCATCTGTGGATCCCCCTCCTTCGCAGCGTCAGGTTCAGGCTTCTTGTCCTAAACTTCAAGGCTATGTAGCAGGAGAGGCCAGATGATTATAGAGGCCTTAAAATCTTTGAATTTATGAAAACAGGCCAATAACTCCAGGACTCATTGCTCCTGGGGGGGCCCCAACCTAACCCAGCAGCGTTCACAATCCTGCACCTCATCTCTCAAGCCTGGAGCATGCTCGGACACCTCGCTGCACTGGCATGCCAGAGCTCTACACCCTACACAGAGCATGGGACAGAGCATTCTCAGGGCAGGACCACAACTATGGAAATCTTGCCAGAAGAGATCAGATTATCTGCAAGTCCATGGTCTGCCCCTACCCTGTTCCTGTAGCAAGGTCCCGGGGGGGGGGGGGGGGGGGGGGGGGGCAGAAAGGCTGGGAAAGGTAGCGAGGGAACAGAAACAACTCCCTTCCTTCCAAGTGGAAAGAGATCTGCAGGGAGCAGGAGCTGTCGGTAGGTGTCTCCAGTGAAGAGACTAGAAGGAGCCTGGAAAGGAGCAGGCTTTAGTGTTCTCTACTGAGAGAGACGAGGAAAGGGACAGGAGTTCTGACTCTGTCTGGTCAAGAGGCCTCAGAGGAGGCCACACAGAAAAGGAATGTTGGAGTGGGCTTTGTTACGGAGCCCTTAGGACAGGGGGTCTCAAACTGGGACCCCTTTAGGGGGTTGTGAGGTTATTACATGCGGGGTCGTGAGCTGCCAGCCTCCACCCCAAACCCCGCTTCGCCTCCAGCATTTATAATAGTGTTAAATATTTTAAAGTGTTTTTAATTTATAAAGGGGGTTGCAATGAGAGGCTTGCTATGTGAAAGGGGTCATCAGTACAAAAGTTTGAGAACCGCTGCTAGGAGAACAGAACTGGGAAGAGGTAACAAAGCAGACTGGCTAGGGAGAAGCCCTGAAGAGACTGTCCCTGGCTGGGGACGTTCCTGGGATGCCTAGAGTAGTGGGTGCAGAATTTGTCTGGACAGTCAGACATAGACAAGTCCAGAAAGCAGACTTTGCTACGGGACTGTGGCTACAATACTAATGACCTTGGAGAATCAGAAGCAGGGAGAGTTTGGAGCAGACCTTATGCCTGCTTCATTGTCTGGGACCCTGGTGAGGTGAGGCTAGAGAACTGGAGACTGGAGAGGAGGGAGCCCAGAAGCTCCCTAGAAAAGGGATCGGAGCTGGAAGGTTGGCACAGACTCGTGAGGACAAGCCTGTGACACAGGGTGGAATGGGGCTGCAGAATTTGCTTGGGTTGGACTTAGCTTCGTTTCTTCTCTTGTTCACCTGAAAGGGGGGTGGAGGGAAGGAAGCAGCTTGTGTTTTCTCAAGAACAGGTAAGACCATGTCAGGCCCGCACCCCTCCCGCTTGAAACCAGACTTTCACCTGGAACGGCACCAGTAAGCACTAACAAGGAGGAAGAACAGCATACCATTCAAACAGCCCTATCTGCACGGGAACCAACACCGCTAACCCCATTTCTGTTTAGTCTCAGTTCAGACCCAATGGTGATAGGCACCATAAAAACACACCTCACATAGCTAGCTAGGAAAATAAGAAATATACAACACAAATTAAGGGATATGATCTGCTGTATGGCCTGTTTCTGTTGTCTTCCTCCTCCCATCCCTGAGCCCCAAGGTCTGCAGTCGCTTCTCATTATCATCTGCCCTATTTGGATTGTAAGCACCATTGACCAGGAACCTTGTTGCCTTACGTGTCTGTAAAGCACCGAGCACAGTTATGGCACTGGACAACCTGGCAAACTGAATCTGCTGCAGAACCATTGCACTGGTCAGGCCTTGGAATCCAAGGTGCACAGAGCATTCTGCAGGGTTGTAGGTCCTAACTAGAGCAGAGTTCACTTCATTGCATTATTTACCATTGTGCTGGCCTAACTCCATGCCTGGGTGTTGTATTGCATCAGAGAGAGAGAACAGAATGGCAATTATTGAGTGAACAATCCCCTGTCATCCAGTCCCAGCAGTCAGTGGCTCTGGGACGCCCAGAGCATGGAGTTGTATCACTGACCCTCCTGGCTAAGAGGCAATGATGGACAGATCCTCCATGAACTTATCTAATACTTTTCTGAACCCAGTTATGCTTTTGGCTTTCACAACATCCCCTGGCAATGAGTTCCATAGGTTGACAGTGCACTGTGTGAAGAAATACCTGCTGCCTGTTAATGTCATTGAGTGACCCCTGGCTTTTGTGTTATGTGAAGGGGTAAATAACACTTCCTTATTCACTTTCTCCACAGCATTCATGATTTTAGTGACCTCTATCATATCCCCCTTAGCAGTCTCTTTTTTAAGATGAACAACCCCAGTCTTTTTAATCGTGTGGAAGCTACTCCACACTCCTCCTCATTTTTGTTGCCCTTCTCTGCACCTTTCCTAATTCTAATCTACCCTGTTTGAGATGGGGCGACCAGAACTGCCCGCAGTAGTTCAAGGTATACGCGTAC